TGGACACGTTCAAGTGAATTTATATCCATTCTATAATATGGCGACCAAAACTGAACTGCATAATCTAAATGGGGCCTAACTAGAGCAAGATATAGCTTGAGAACCACACCAGGTGTCTTGTTACTAACGCTGCTACATAAGAACATAAGAACATAAGAACAAAGGTAACTGCAGAAGGCCTATTGGCCCATACGAGGCAGCTCCTATTCTATAACCACCCAATCCCACTCATATACTTGTCCAACCCGTGCTTGAAACAATCGAGGGACCCCACCTCCACAATGTTACGCGGCAATTGGTTCCACAAATCAACAACCCTGTTACTGAACCAGTATTTACCCAAGTCTTTCCTAAATCTAAACTTATCCAATTTATATCCATTGTTTCGTGTTCTGTCCTGTGTTGATACTTTTAATACCCTATTAATATCCCCCCGGTTATGTCCATTCATCCACTTGTAAACCTCTATCATGTCACCCCTAACTCTTCGCCTTTCCAGTGAATGCAACTTAAGCTTTGTTAATCTTTCTTCATATGAAAGATTTCTAATTTGGGGAATTAACTTAGTCATCCTACGCTGGACACGTTCAAGTGAATTTATATCCATTCTATAATATGGCGACCAAAACTGAACTGCATAATCTAAATGGGGCCTAACTAGAGCAAGATATAGCTTGAGAACCACACCAGGTGTCTTGTTACTAACGCTGCGATTAATAAATCCAAGTGTCCGATTTGCCTTATTACGAACATTTATGCATTGATCCTTTTGTTTTAAATTCTTACTAATCATAACTCCCAAATCCCTTTCGCAATCCGACTTCGCAATCACAACACCATCTAGCTCGTATCTTGTAACTCTATCATCATTACCTAACCTCAGAACTTTACATTTATCAGCATTAAACTGCATCTGCCAATCCTTTGACCATTTCAAAACCCTATCTAGATCAACTTGAAGTGATAGTGAGTCCTCCTCCGAATTAATTTCCCTACCGATTTTCGTATCATCGGCAAATTTGCAAATGTTGCTACTCAAACCTGAATCTAAATCATTTATATATATTATAAACAACAGAGGTCCCAGGACAGAGCCTTGAGGCACTCCACTTACAACATTTTCCCACTCTGACTTGATTCCATTTATACTAACTCTCTGTTTCCTTTGGTATAGCCATGCCCTAATCCAGCTTGATATAGCACCCCCAATACCATGAGACTCTATTTTTTTAATCAGTCTTTCATGTGGCACTGTATCAAAAGCTTTGCTAAAGTCAAGGTATACAACATCGCAATCCTTACCACTATCAACTGCCTCAACAATGCTAGAATAAAAAGATAACAAATTTGTTAAACATGAACGGCCATTTATAAAACCATGTTGCGACTCAATTATTAATTTATGTTTTTCAAGATGAAGACGAATTTTATTTGCTATTATAGATTCGAGTAACTTTCCCACAATAGACGTTAGGCTAATTGGTCGATAGTTAGACGCAAGTGATCTATCTCCTTTCTTAAAAACTGGTATCACATTAGCAACTTTCCAAAACTCTGGCACTCTGCCTGACTCTATTGATTTATTAAATATGGTTGACAGTGGGTCACAAAGCTCCTCTTTGCATTCTTTAAGCACCCTAGCAAACACTTCATCCGGCCCTGGGGATTTGTTTGGTTTGAGTTTTACTATTTGTTTAAGAACATCCTCCCTGGTAACTGCTAAACTCGTCAACCTGTCCTCGTCCCCACCCACATAGACTTGTTCAGCTGAAGGCATATTGTTAAGTTCCTCTTTAGTAAATACAGATACAAAATATTTATTAAAAATACTACTCATCTCTTCATCACTATCTGTTATTTGACCTGTCTCAGTTTTTAATGGACCTATCCTTTCCCTAGTCTTAGTACGATATAACTGAAAAAACCCTTTAGGATTTGTCTTTGCTTGCCCTGCTATGCGAACTTCATAGTTTCTTTTTGCTTTCCTTATCTCTTTTTTAACATTTCTAACCAGTTGTACGAATTCCTGTTCTAAAGTGACCTCCCCATTTTTAATCCTTTTGTACCAAGCTCTCTTTTTACCTATAAGGTTCTTCAAATTCTTTGTTATCCACTTTGGGTCATTAGTATACGATCTATTCAATTTGTATGGTATACTACGTTCCTGTGCTTTGTTTAGAATATTCTTAAATAAGTTATATATTGAATCCACATCGAAATCCCCATTTAAGTCACCTATCGCTGGGTTCATGTCTCGCTCCAAGACCGGCCCACACCCCATACCCAAGGCTTTCCAATCAATTTGACCCAAAAAATTTCTTAGGCTATTAAAATCAGCTTTTCGAAAATCTGGCACTTTAACAGAATTTTCTCCTACTGGTCTATTCCATTCTATGCTAAATCTGATTTCTTTGTGATCACTGCTCCCTAGCTCACTCCCTATTTCGATGTCATTAATTTGCGTTTCCCTGTTAGTTAACACTAAATCTAAAATATTATTTTCCCGTGTTGGTTCCTTAATGTGTTGCGTAAGAAAGCAATCGTCAATTAATTCTAGAAAATCTTCTGCTTCACTATTCCCTGTTTTGTTCAACCAGTTTATTCCGCTAAAATTAAAGTCACCCATGACATAAATACTGTTAGATCTAGATGCTCTAGATATTTCATCCCATAGATGCTTTGCTTCCATTCTGTCTAAATTTGGTGGCCTATATATTACTCCTATTATAATATTATTAGCTTTTTCGTTTAATTCAATCCAAATAGTTTCTGTGTGTGGCTCTGTTTTGATTCCCTCTTTGAGACTACATTTCAAATTGTCCCTAACATATATGGCTACTCCACCTCCTCGTCTAATATATCTATCTGTGTGAAATAGTTTAAATCCATATATTTGATATTCAGCTAATAGTTCTCTATTTTCTACATTCATCCACGTTTCGGTAAGTGCAATAATATCTATTTTTTCTGTGCAGACAAGAGCATTTAATTCGTTAATTTTATTTCTTAGACTTCTACTGTTAGTGTAATATACCCTAAGTGAATTGTTATTTTGCGGACCTTCTCTTTCCCTGATCGTTTTGCCAATTCCTTTCTCCCACAAACACATACTCTTATTACCTCCTTCCTCCAAATCAATTCCCATACCTCTATCTACTAACAGTTTAAACCCAAACAAACCCCTCTAACCACTTCTTCTAGCGAGTTCGCAACAGCAACAACCCCAGCTCTCGATAGATGCACCCCATCACGAGCATACATTTCATTTCTTCCATAGAAGTGTTCCCAGTTGTCTATGAAAGATATTGCATTTGATTTGCAATATCTTTCCAGCCGGCAATTGACACCAAGTGCCCTCGATATCCATTCATTTCCCACTCCCTTTCTTGGAAGAATGCCACATATGATCGGGATTCCTCCCTTGCTCCTAACTAACTCTATGGCTGTTTTATACCTCTGAATCAGTTCCTCACTCCTGACTCGACCAACATCATTTCCTCCCACGCTAATGCAAATAATGGGATTGTTCCCATTACCAGCCATAATATCATTCATGTTGTTTATAATATCACCAATGCCAGCTCCGGGATAGCAAACCCTTAACCTGTTCCCCCTATCTCTAGCACAAAACGTTCTATCCAAATACCTTATCTGGGAATCTCCCACAACTAATGTTTGCTTAGGTACTTCCTTTACTTTCTGAGGGGCCTGCGCTTCCTTTCTCTTCGTTGCTTTCCCTTTTGCGCGATCCACAGTCTCTCCACAGCACTCGTCCTCCAAAACGTCAAATGAATTTGAAGTTGCTATGGCGTTTGAAGGCGGCTTTATCAAAGTCTTCTTAAGGCCCCTGTCTTTCGCAACTCTCCAAGACGAGGTCCCTTTACTGCTGGTCTCCTCCTTCGTTACTTCTCGTTGTTTTTTAAGCTGACGCACCTCCTCCCGCAGAGAGTCCAACTCTGTCCTCAGGGCTCCCACTAGAGTCACCAGGTCCTTAACTACAACTTCCATATTAATATCCTTTATTATAATAAAGGAGTGTTATTAAGGCCTATCATCCTCTGGAAGGTTATTATATCCTATCACTCACTGTAGGGTTATTATGATCTATCACCTTCTGAAGGGTTATTTAGTCTTATCAACCTCTTGAGGGTTAATAAAGCCTATCAAGCTCTGTAGGGTTATTAAGACTATCAACCTATTGAAGTTTATTAATGCCTATCACCTTCTGGAGTTATATAAAGACCTATCAAGCACTGCAGAGTTATTAAGGCCCATCAACATTTATAAGGTTATTAAGGCCTATCATGATCTGAAGGGTCATTAAGGCCTATCAACATCTGAAGGGTCATTAATGCCTATCAACATCTGAAGGGTTATTAAGGCCTATCAACATCTGAAGGGTTATTAATGCCTACAAACCTTTATGGGGTTATTAGAGCCTATCAACATCTGAAGAGTTATTAAGGCCTATCAACCACTGGGACGCCATCAGTCCCCATGGCAAAGTGGTAACACTTGTCTGGTGCTTTGCAAGCGCTTTGGCCTGGGTTCGTATCCTGGGCGGGGAGTATTGATTGGGCGTCATTCCTTCAACTGCAGCCTCTGTTCACCCAGTTGTGAATGGATACCTGATTGTTAAACGATTTGGCAGGGTCGTATTCCAATTAACACGTGATGAAAAATGTAACAGTGTCAGACCACGGAGGAACTATCGCGCATAGCGTTTCGGGCCGGTCCTCAATCCTAATTTTGCCTGGATTACGACTCGCCAAATCGTTTAACAACCAGGTACCCATTAATTTACACCCAGTCAACCCTGGTGGTCAGGATACGAACCCTGGCCGAAGTGCCAGTTAAGCGCCGGGCGAGTGCTTTACCACTGTGCCATGGAGAATATTAACTGTTTATCCCCGGTTGAGTTTATTTGCTGTGGTTGCTTGCGAGAAAAACATCTTTGAAATGAAAATATCTGCGTTATATCAGAGAACCCCTTGTTACAGTTGCTCATGCGTATTGGATTAGAGGTATCTAAAGTTCATGACGTCTACAAATTTGATAAGGAGACCTACCTTAAAGACTTGATTGAAACCAATGTTCGTGAACGTGCCACTACCAAATGTGCGATAAAAAAAGGCTTTCAAACTCGTTTCAAACTCAATATATGGAAAGAGCCTCACAGATGTTTCTAAATATGGGAACAAACACTATCTGGTCACAGATCGTAGAGGTTTCCTGAAGCACGCTCGATACCCTTTCTTCAAGCAGAGCCTTTTGTTAAGTAAGGATCGTGTGTTATGCACTATCAAGCAAAAGTTACTCCAAGTCAACACTCCTACGTGTCTCGGCTATCACATACTCCAAATTGCTAAGAGACGACTCTCTGAGTTCTGGTATGATGTGGTCAAACCGGCGTATGGGGATAAAGCAAGTCTATTATATACTGACACAGACTCTTTCATCATAAAACTCGACTGTTGGGATGTGTTTGAAGAGCTGAATAAGGCTTCTCTCTTCGACTGTATAGATTTTAGTAATTTTAATGACACCCCACCCGTCCTACTCTACAGCTCGCGAAGGGGAATTAGGCTTGCTCAAGTCAGAAATAGGGTCTAAGATCATTAATAAATTAAATGCTCTAAGACCTAAACGTACCCTTTCACCACTGAAGATGGAGATCACACGTGCAAATGCCAGGGAGTACCCTACCACCTCTAAGAGAAAGTTTGTTTGACCTTAAACACTGTCCAAAGTCAGATTTGCTTTAATAACCTTCCAAAAACTGATAATCATTAATAACCCTCCAGAGAATGATAGACCTTAATAACCATTCGCTGTTTGAAAGGACTTAAGACCAGTCATAAAACAGGATTAAATGCCATTCCTTATATTGATGTCATTTATATAAAGATTTGACCTTCACCAAGACTTTGGCACTCTCCTGAGTGCTTATCAGAGTGTGAGTGGATGGTTAGGACGAGCCTTACATCTCAACGACTAATACGGTGCTATCCAGGATCCAGTGCTGTGATGTCTTGACCTGACCAGGTCACCACCGTCCCCGCCTGCCCATGTTCCGGAAGCGATGGCTGCTGTGGGTATGACGATCAGTTGACCTTTCTGTCATGCTGGGTTTCTGAGAACTGGGATGGTTGTTAATAAAGGTCTCCGTCCAGATGGCGTCCCTCGTTACTCCCGCCATACACAAAGGAGAGCGGCTGTTGGCACTGCCTCCATTTATCCACCTGCTCAAATCTAATTTTAATTTTCCCAGCATCACCTTTCTGGTAAAATTGTCCCCATAAGTAAAGCTTTTGTTTCCAGGGAAAGTATTAATTAAAACCCTTATAGTTATAATATTATTACTTTTATTGATTATTTCACATTTGTTGAAATTAATTTTTTTCAATCCTTTTCCCAGTTATGATGCGCTACCAGCCATAATTCACAATACTTAAATGTATTTGTTCTGTACAGTCCAATAGTCAATTTACCATCAGACATGAATGAAATTAAATTAGTGTACCCTTTATTCTCTTCTCCGAGAGTATGTGTCAACTCACGACACCTCTGGTGGTTCCCGAACTAAATAAAACCTAATTAAATAAAAACTAATAAAATACAATAAGATAATACAGTAATAAAATAATCAAGTACAAAAGCAACATAATATTTTAGTGTTACATGTAAGTATAAAATAATTAAATAAGAGAGTATAAAGGTAGAGTCGCTCTGGGGCGAGGCCGTGAGAGTCCTCACACAGGTTAAATAATTGCACACTAGTTTCTTTATCAGCTACCTCACCCTGTCAGGGTAAATGAGACAAATGTATGTGAATGCATGTATGTGTGTATATATGTATGTGTATGTGTGTGTGTGTATGTATATGTATGGGTATAAAGCATATATGGAAGCTGATCAGAATTACATTTCACCTTTGTGAATGTACATTAATGACACTATGTAAAAGACACATCTAATACTTTATGTAGGGCGTACGTAAATCTGTGTATCTTTGTATTTACGTATGTAGGTTAGCTTAGCATTTTAAAAGCACCGAATCACCTTCTGTGGTTGAGTGTTCAATAAACCCTTGAACTGTATGCTTAACACTTCTCTAACCCTGTCCATGGAGGACAGAAGAAAATGTATATATGCTGGTTAGCATTGTAAATGTGTGGCCACGTCTGTGGTAGAAAATAATAAAAAAAAAAAATAAAAAAAATAATACAGGTTATAATAAAGTCGACCCGCGGTAATACGCCATAAATTTGACATCAGAATTAAAGAACAGAAAAAGCATGGAGATTTATGACTGGTAATTGTGCTCCTGAAAACTTTATTACAAGAAAGAGCAAAATATTAATAAAATGTTTCCCCAAAACGTATTGAAAACGATGAATAAATTTAGAATCTCTTGTCTGATATTCCGTTATATATAATCGAAAAAAATATGTGGATGAAATTACAAGCAAAGAAAAGTACTATTTTGTAATTAAATTTTACTGAAAATAATTTTGCATAAAAGCTTTTACTTCTAAAAAGTGTTGAAAATTTATATAATTTGTAACGGTTTATACAAAAGAATGTAAATAAAAATTGACTGGACAGTTTAATTGTTGGTACATGTGTTATTATGTACCTCTGTAACCCATTCTACCACCGGCCACGGGATGGGTATGGGGTGCACAATAAAGAAAGACTTTTAATTATAAACTCTTTCATTAGCAACAGGTATTAGTATAGACAAAGAGGTATACCCAACTTCCTGGTGTATCCACAGCTAGTTATACCCAGCATCTTGATTTATAGAGAGATATACCCAGCTTCCTGGTATATACACAGAGAGGTATACCCAGCTTCCCGGTGTATACACAGAGGGGTATACCCAACTTCCCGGTGTATACACCGAGAGGTATACCCAGCTTCCCGGTGTATACACCGAGAGGTATACCCAGCTTCCCGGTGTATACACAGAGAGGTATACCCAGCTTCCCGGTGTATACACCGAGAGGTATACCCAGCTTCCCGGTGTATACACAGAGAGGTATACCCAGCTTCCCGGTGTATACAATGGAAGGTATACCCAGCTTCCCGGTGTATACAATGAGAGGTATACCCAACTTCCCGGTGTATACACAGAGAAGTATACCCAGCTTCCCGGTGTAGTAATAGTAGGCATCCTTCAGTCTCGGGAGACTGGAGTTGCGCCCTGGTTGTCAATCCTGGTGCAGCGTCTGGTGTGACTGATGAGGCCAATCCGAGAGTGGCAGTCCATCCCACACCGAGCACAAACGAAGTCCGATTCTGGTCTGTCTTCCCGGCTACCGGCTTCCCTTCTCTGTCTCTTAGCCTTCGATTCCTTGGCAAGTGACTCCTCGAACTTGGAGAGACCTCTTTGAACAGACTGCCTCCAGGCTGAACGGTCTGCAGCCAGTGTCTCCCATATAGCTAGATCGACGTCCATGGCTTTCAGGTCCCTCTTGCATACGTCTTTGTACCGTAGCTGGGGCTTGCCTTCCCGGTGTATACGAGGGTTATTATAGCCTATTATCCTCTGGAGGCTAATTATGGCCTATCAACCTGTAGAGGTTTATTAAGGCTTATCACCTTGAATGTTATTAAGGCCTATCATCCTCTGGAAGGTTATTGTAGCCTATCATTCTCTGAAGGGGTATTAGGGCCAATCAACCATTTAAGGGTCAACAAAGCCTATCAACCTCTGGGGATTATTAAGGCCTATCAACCTCTTGACTTCTATCAACATCTGGAGTGACACAAAAGCTTGCTGACCAACCACAGTTTATGTATGCAATGAAACATCGTGTCGATACATTCTTGTGAATACTATGATGTTTTTATATTACGTCAATAACGGCAACCTTGTACCTCCAAATATACAGTATATTATGTCAGTACCCAGCAGCGAGTCCGCTAGAACTAATTGATATGTAAAAAAAAAAATAATTAAGTTAATTTATTTTTTTATTGCCGTTCAAAGTCGCGTATATTATATAAATACTTCTTAACTTAATAAACAAATTAAAGTTTAATAATGCTGCGTTTTGTAATTTACTTTTTTGTTTTAAGTCAATTTAAAAATATTGATAGTTGTATATCTACATTACATAAAATGTAAAATATATTAAAAGATTCTTAATATTGTACATTCACCATTTTCTGAACGTTTTGGGCGAACTTTATTTTTCCATTTATTGGTCGTTATTTAATATATTAATATATAATGCGAATGCAGATATTTATTCGATAATATTATGTGGGAAGATCAGTGGGTATAATAAGGGCGTCAACTTGTGGCGCAGAGAACTGTTGTAGTTAGCATAATTAGTTTATTAAGGCGCCATATATAAGCTGCCCAGTAGATATATAAAAAGAAGACCTGAGGTTCACGCACCAAAGTTTACCTTAAAATAATAAGCTCAGTTTTCTGTTATTTAATTCTTTATTTCATTGGGAGTCGAGAAACATCCTTATGTGAGGGCAAGACGAGTTCTCCTGGATTTACCTGAGGGTCACCATGTATTTAGTGGCCACAATGGAGGACAGGAAGCCGGCGGATTGTTCATCTCCATAGCCTTATGTCTACAATGTTTAGTAGCGTTGTACCAGGGTATGTATGCGAACTCCTCCTTCTTATGGAACAACCCGGAGGTCATCCTGGCCATGACCACACGAGTGGTGATGTTGGGAGACGCGTCCCTCACACTCCCGCCTCAATGGTCAGAATTTGGCAGTTTCAGAGCCGTCTTGACAACATAATAGGCCTCTGGGCAGGGCCGTCTTAACATCATAATTGGCCCCTGGGCAGGGCCGTCTTAACAGCATTATGGGCCCCTGGGTAGGGCCGGCCGTCTTAACAGCATTATAGGCCCCTGGGCAGGGCCGTCTTAACAGCATTATTGGCCCCTGGGCAGGGCCGTCTTAACAGCATTATTGGCCCCTGGGCAGGGCCGTCTTAACAGCATTATGGACCCCCTGGGCAGGGCCGTCTTAACAGCAAGGCCCCTGGGCAGGGCCGTCTTAACAGCATTATTGGCCCCTGGGCAGGGCCGTCTTAACAGCATTATGGACCCCCTGGGCAGGGCCGTCTTAACAGCATTATTGGCCCCTGGGCAGGGCCGTCTTAACAGCATTATTGGCCCCTGGGCAGGGCCGTCTTAACAGCATTATGGACCCCCTGGGCAGGGCCGTCTTAACAGCATTATAGGCCCCCTGGGCAGGACCGTCTTAACGGCATTTTAGGTCCCTGGGCAGGGTCGTCTTAACAGCAGTATGGGCCCATGGGCAGGGCTGTCTTAACAGCAGTATGGGCCCCTGGGCAGGGCCGTCTTAACAGCATTATTGGCCCCTGGGCCAACCAGTGTGCTGGGGACCCCTACGACAAACACTCAGGAATAAAAATTAAATGATCGATAATATTAAACATATTGTGACGGTGTCCCACCCCTATATTTCTCCTAACCCAGCTTAAAGAGTCATATCTCCATAACCTCAGCGTTCTCTGATATCCAGGGAACATGTTCATATGTGTGAGAGTGTGGAGCGTTACCAGGTTGGCTATATAATTGCCATTTAAGTGTGATTATGCAAGGGGCTTACGCCCTTTTGAGGCACAAGATGGCGCCGAGCCATTCTCTTTCCCTCCAAAACGTCGCGGCACCTCCCGGCACCTGATTGGCCAAGTGACGTCACGTGCCAGAAGTGACCAATGACGAGAGCCCTCGGTCGGTGTGACGTCACGAGACGGAGGGCTTCTAGGGCGGCTGGCGCCTGGGCGGTACAGTATGTCACTTGCCGCCCTAGAGTATGGACGCTCTCGAGTGAGCTCCAGATCTTGAGGTCAGAAAGCTCCTACCAGTGAATTTAAGCATCGCTTTAATACTGCAGACATCCCGTGGAGTGCCAGGAAGCAAGGATTGGCCGGGATAGAGAGTCAAGAGCTCTATATTCAAGAGTCTGTAACAAGAACGGACGTTGGGCTGGAGACGTCTGGGACGACCGATGGACTGCATTCTACATATCAAGCAAATAGCGACTTTACCCCTTTGATCTAGGTGAGCTAGGATATTTTGCATATCGTGAACATTTCTTGTTACCATTTATTGTCTATGTGATAGTGTTAGGCTAAGAGCCAAGGAGCTCATGCAGGCATGAACTGGTGGTGGAACATAAATATGTAGATGCGGCGATGTTAGTGTATCTGGGAATAGTAGTTGGTTTTCAAGAAGCCAGAAACGAACTTTGAATCGTCCAGCTGATCGTGTTGCCAGAGGCGCGAGGTGTGTCCCCGAAGGTCTGACAGTTGGACCCAGTCAGCTGATCGTGTTGCCAGAGGCGCGAGGTGTGTCCCCGAAGGTCTGACAGTTGGACCCAGTCAGCTGATCGTGTTGCCAGAGGCGCGAGGTGTGTCCCCGAAGGTCTGACAGTTGGACCCAGTCAGCTGATCGTGTTGCCAGAGGCGCGAGGTGTGTCCCCGCCGGTCTGACAGTTGGACCCAGTCAGCTGATCGTATTGCCAGAGACGCGACGAGAGAAGGTTGCCGTCATCGCCATCGGAAATTTCCACCCAGAGCAGACCATTTGCCTAATAGGCCGAGTGATTTTCTTTATTTTCAATAAACTGTTTCCAATTAGTTTATTTTTATATTATATTATTATTATTATTATATTATATTAGGAATATAAACTATTGACTGAGTTGTGTTAGTTTAAGTTAGGTTTATATAGGTTAGGTTAAGTTGGGTTGGGTTAGGTTCGGTCATACATTTACGTTAGTTTGAACTCAAATTTAAACAAATTAACTTATACATAATGAAATGGACAGATTTATCATTTCATAAGAAAAAATTAGAAAAAATATAAATTCAGGAAAACTTGACTAATTAGGCAAATCGAGCCTTGCACAGTAGGCCGAGAAGTGCGCTCTGGCTACTAGGTACGACATATATATATATATATATATATATATATATATATATATATATATATATATATATATATATATATATATATATATATATATATATATATATATATGTTTCATTGAATATGACCGCATATTCTGTATTTATTATTTTCTGGTTTAGGGCTTCTATCCCTCTAACTATTTTCTTAGCATCAGGGCTTAATTGAAATAGGAGTTCTCCAAAACTCATTTTCGTACTTTTAAGGTGAAGAAAAGAAGTGATTTACTATAGAGTGTATTACACTTATTTGTATAATTTGCACGACGTTTCGAACCTCCATGGTTCATTCTCAAGTGAACAGATCTTACAATACTAGTTGATTTTATACCCGCATTAGGTCAGGTGATAATACAATGAAGGTGAAAACATGGGGGGATACATAAGGGATAAACATAGGGGCTGCAGAAGGCTTATTGGCCCATACGAGGCATCTCCTATCTAAACACAAAGATTAATCCAGTGTAATTGGCCTGTTATGTTGGACATTGTCTTCTGTGTTGGCATCGATATGTTCTTGTCTTGTCCTTACTCTCATGGTGGGTAGAGTAAATAGTTCCGTGATTTGGGTGTTCATGGTAGGTCGCTCCATTCTTATGTGAATTCACATAAGAATAGAGCGACCTATACCATTCTACCACTTCTTCTCTTCACCTTAAAAGTACGAAAATGAGTTTTGGAGAACTCCTATTTCAATTAAGCCCTGATGCTAAGAAAATAGTTAGAGGGATAGAAGCCCTAAACCAGAAAATAATAAATACAGAATATGCGGTCATATTCAATGAAACATGTTTGAAAGAAAACCTGCTGCCAGTATACACCAATATATATATATATATATATATATATATATATATATATATATATATATATATATATATATATATACATATATATATATATATATATATATATATATATATATATATATATATATATATATATATATATATATATATATATATATATATATATATGTCGTACCTAGTAGCCAGAACGCACTTCTCGGCCTACTATGCGAGGCCCGATTTGCCTAATAAGCCAAATTTTCCTGAATTAATATATTCTCTCTAATTTTTTTATTATGAAATGATAAAGCTACCCATTTCATTACGTATGAGGTCAATTTTTTTTTATTGGAGCTAAAATTAAAGTAGATATATGACCGAACCTAACCAACCCTACCTAACCTAACCGAACCTATCTTTATAGGTTAGGTAGCCGAAAAAGTTAGGTTAGGTTAGGTAGGTTAGGTAGTCGAAAAGCAAATAATTCATGAAAACTTGGCTTATTAGGCAAATCGGGCCTTGCATAGAAGTGCATTCTGGCTACTAGGTACGACATATATATATATATATATATATATATATATATATATATATATATATATATATATATATATATATATATATATACGAAATTACGAAAATGAGTTTATATATATATATATATATATATATATATATATATATATATATATATATATATATACGAAATTACGAAAATGAGTTTTGGAGAACTCCTATTTCAACTAAGGCCTGATGCTAAGAAAATAGTTAAAGGGATAGAAGCCCTAAATCAAAAGATAGTAAATACAGAATATGCGGTCATATTCAATGAAACATATATATAAAGGTATACAATACTTCCAAAGTTACAAAAAACAAGAAAAAGTAAAGTTATAATAGAAATAATAAAAAAAGTTAACATCTGTTTTAAAGATAGAAAAACATTATATAATATACGTTACTTTAAATAGCAGTAGAAAAATAAAATACCTACACAGTTTATCATGTGTTTTATATAATGCACCACGCTTTCGGACGTAAGGATATTCTCAACGTTCTCAAAGCCACCACCAACACAGTACCAGACGACATCCAGCAGGACGGTATCGTCCTCTCTTACTCCACCGGAGACGACCTTGAACACCTGTTCACACCTGCTGCTACATCTGCACTCTATGATGCGGATATTACCCTCATCCAACCACGACGCTTTCAAGCTGAACGAACCATCTTTGCCAGGAGAGTAAGCTCATGGATCACCGAGCACGAGGTGGACGTTATCCTGAACAGTATCAACAGGGAAAACGAAAACATGACAGCTGTCTCAGCAAAAATCATCGCCAACAACAACGACACTCGCTCCACCTTGAAAGTGACCTTCACTACAGTTGCCGCAGCGGACCAGGCCACCACCACAGGATTTAGGTGCTTAGGCATCAATACTCCACCAGCTTCAGTGCACAAGGAACGTTTTTACGAGGTAAGCCAGTGCTACAAGTGCTACCAGTACTCACACGTGACCAGGAAGTGCCCTCAAAGTGTAAACAAGTGTAGTGTCTGTGCCAAGGACCACCATTATAAACAGTGTCGCGCCGATATCACGTGTTGTGTAGTGTGCGGTGGTGACCATATTGCTATTTCTCATTTGTGTCCTGTGCGACAGGAAGAAATTAAGAAGCTCTTGACAGCTGGACGGGCTTCCGCAACTGCTCGTGCTCAGTCACCATTCAACATGCAAGCCGCCATTTTCCCGGAGCTCCCGGGGGAAGGAGTAGCCGCCCACCAACGTACCAACCAATGGGGACCCGGCATGCAGTCCGGCAGCCAATTAACCAGCTGCCCAATCACAGACCCAGCCTCCACCTCCACCACCAGGCTCTTCCCATTCGTCGACTCAGACTTCGCCACGGCAGTTGCCGGTTACTGTCACCGACCTTAGCACTACACATGCTCTCACGAAACTAGTGAGTGACATTACTGGTTCCAACTACCGAGAATTTGTGAGGATTCTAAATATCGTCTACAAGGCTAACGGACTCCAGACCATCATCGTACCTGACGAAGTCTTCCCCACCTCTGCCTCAGCTTCCACTTCAGTTACTGAGCCGGAAATCACTGTAAACGCTGCCGCACTTGTTGACCTACTGTCTGCCACTGTTCCACCCACCACTCCAGTTGCTGCTGACCCTACACCAGACCCAGTAGAGGCTGTTAGTCTCTCCACACAAGACAACGACCCTCCTGCTCCTGTTTATGCGTCTTACAATTGCCCTAGAGACCTGAAATTTAATATTTCTCAGAAACGTGTCACAGCTCGGGAGTGGAACATCGACTACGAAAACGGACTGAACGATGACGGAACCCGCAGAGAGTTTTGGTACGTTGAGGCTGACACAGTTCGTTACTGCACTGATGTTACCATGCTCCACCCTGCCATTATTGACCCTCAATACTACGTGAAATATCCGAAACACGCCGCTATGATAAAGAAAGAAATTCAAGAACGAACGGGCAATGAACCTTCAACCCAGCAGAGTCAACCAACACCTCTTCATACCAAACCTTCAGGGACCACTGTGCTAGTCCCCGACCCTTCAAACCCATTGTCGGATGATGCTCCAGCTCCTGGTCCAGCCTCGGACATTGCTGTGAACGATACTGAACCTACTGCAGCTGCAACATCTGCTCCTGGCATGGTAGCAACCCAGAAGCCGACGACTTCTCATCCACCATCTCCTGTTACATCTCCACCCACAGTACATACATCCACTGAACCTTCTACATCTGCAGTAAGTCCTACCGCTGCTACTAAACCATCAGGAACACTACTTCCAAGACCCACATCTCCTGGTATGTACTCATCTGACTCATCAGATGAGGATGTCTCTGTGGGAACGACATCTCCACCTTCACAGAAATACAACTATTCATCTGCCGATTTTCTTTATGACGCTATTGATCCCACAGCAATGTCAACACGAAGTCGGACCGCCAAGAAAGACAAGCCGAAAACAAAGACCAAAGATCAGACCTTGCTCCCACCATCAAGAAAGAAGTAAACCAATGAAGTAATCAACCTTCAATTACCATCAACTGCCAGCTGCTTGCGTTCCTGGCCTCTGTGTGGACTGCAAATGACGCCCTACTCAATTCTACTTCCATCTACTCAAGTTCTAATCCGCGGTGGTTGGGCCACCGATCTTTCATCTCCCCTCTTCACCTCATCTCCAGATCCTTGCTCAAGATTTCTGCAACCTCGCCCCGTTCTTCCATCCCCTGCTTGCCAGCTCTATGGACTTTTTCGCTTCGCCCATTTCATTATGTATCAGGTCAATTGTTTTTTATTGGAGTTAAAACTAACGTAGATATATGACAGAACCTAACCAACCCTACCTAACCTATCTTTATAGGTTAGGTTAGGTTAGGTAGCCAAAAAAGTTAGGTTAGGTAGTCGAAAAACAATTAATTCATGAAAACTTGGCTTATTAGGCAAATTGGGCCTTGCATAGTAGGCTGAGAAGTGCGTTCTGGCTACTAGGTACGACATATATATATATATATATATACACACACACATAGTGTCAATAAGGAAACCTTATGCCTCTAAAAATATAGTGAAACTAATTACAGTAGAAGTGAACAGTGAACTTCTATCTGGAATATAAATCACATGAAAAACCGAGTAGGTAATTTTTTTTTACTGATATTTAAAGTAACGTATATTATATAATGTTTTTCTATCTCTAAAATAGATGTTAACTTCTTTTATTGTTTCTATTATAACTTTATTTTTCCTTGTTTTTACTAACTTTAAAATTAATGTATATCTTTATATGTACTTAACATGTAATGGAAAATGTAGTATAGATTCTTAATGCTTCCACCGTTTTCTGAAAGTTTTGGATGAACCTTATTATTCCATATATTAGTGGTTAATTTTTTTTAGATATATACAAGAGTTGTAACACTCTTGTACAGCCACTAGAACGCGTAGCGTTTCGGGCAGGTTCCTGGAATACGATCCCCGCCGCGAAGAATCGTTGTTACAACCAAGTACCCATTTTACTGTTGAGTTAAACAGAGGCTACAGTTAAGGATTTGTGCCCAGTAAATCCTCCCCGGCCAGGATACGAACCCATGACAAAGCGCTCGCGGAACGCCAGGCGAGTGTCTTACCACTACACCACGGAGACTGGTAATTTTAATATATAGACTGGATTTTAATATATTAATATATAATGCGTTGGATGATATTGTAACGATTCTATTGTTACGTAAAGTATGGTGACAAATAAACACAGATACTAAGATACTATATATATATTTGGTCGAATATACAGAAGTACACAGGTGATACTTTGGTGTGAGTTGAGCGCACTGAGCGTCGGTACAGTATCTCGCAAGTGTCTGCTCTAGACCACACTTGAAAGTAGACTCTGGTTAATGTTTAGACACTTTGATCTTAGCCAAAAAGCCGAGAAGGTTAATGTTTGCTATTCTGCTGCTTATATGCTCGGGCAACACCTCACCTCATTCATCTCCAAAGGTTGACAGGAATATTAACAATGCATTTGGAGCGAGTATATTATTGGGATAATCTACTCGCTACAGAACTCCCCCTCCCAGGGGATGAAAGGAAAAATACTTGATCAAGGAACTTGATCAAGTATCAAGCTGGTCGGTGAATTGTACGCCCTGCTCGCGTTACATAACCATCAAAGTTAACTTCCTCCTCTTCGCTGATGTCATCTAACTGGGGTCGTAGGGTGGGAGGTCGCACAGGATCGTCCGTCGTCGTAGGATCAGGTTGTGGTGCGGCTGGTAACTGGGGTTGTAGGGTGGGAGGTCGTACAGGATCGTCCGTTGTCGTAGGTGGCGGTGCTGCTGGTAACTGTGGTCGAAAAAGTGAACTGCGTAGTCGGCGGATGTGTCTCTGGATTTAGCAGTGTCGCAGACGTTGAGACGAAGCCTGGAGCAGAGCAGAGAGCTGAGTGAGGCCGGAGTCGTGGAGCTCTATGTGGGAGAGCGTGGCGGCTCGATTGAGAATTGTGAGTGTCTGAACTCGGGGAGCGAGAGCGTGGCGGCTCGATGCGGTCGTAGTCTGCTGCCTGCTCTGTGTCGAAGCTGTAGCGTCTTGGGTTGATTAGGACTGTACACGCCGAGTACTACATTGTTGACTGTGGAAATTGTAGTCTGGTACCAAAAGATGTAGGCAGTGTGTGAACAAGCTCGGTGTAGCAGGAGAGAAGAATGTGCATAATTGTTGCGTCCTTGGGTCGCTGGTGGAGCATTTAGATCCGGGGCGGATGGGCTCGGGCACCAGGACATTAGGAGGTAATGTAGGCACATAGTTAGGACAACGAGGTAATCACATCTAGAGCTGAATTGTCCTGAAGGCGACGAAGTGTCTGAAACGCAAGCTGTAAGTCCTGTACTGCGCAAAGGGCTTGAATCGGCCGAGTATCAAAATGCAGTGAACGTGTAGATGAATCTGATGACAGAGCAGCTGTCGTGGGCGTAGGACAAGCAGTGCCCTGGCAGCGACGGAGAGTCGGCAGGACAAGCTGTAGATCCAACATGATGTAATCATTGATGAGGCTGTCAGATGAGTGCGTAACGATCGTGGAGCAGCAAGCCGTAGTAGATGAAAATGCAGAGATGGACGCGATGAAAATCATAGCTGTGGCGAGGGTGTTGGCAGTGTTCCATCACAGCAAACAGTAGCAGTAGAGGTCCAGTGAGAGTCCATGTTGTAGTCCATCGTGGCTGGGTATCGTCGAAACTCTCTGGGGTCACCAATGTAACGGTTCTATTGTTACGTAAAGTATGGTGACAAATAAACACAGACACTAAGATACTATATATATATATTTGGTCGAATATACAGAAGTACACAGGTGATACTTTGGTGTGAGTTGAGCGCACTGAGCGTCGGTACAGTATCTCGCAAGTGTCTGCTCTAGACCACACTTGAAAGTAGACTCTGGTTAATGTTTGATTGATTGATGATTGATGAAGATTAAGCCACCCAAAGATTGATTGATGAAGATTAAGCCACCTAAGAGGTGGCACGGGCATGAATAGCCCGTAAGTGGTGGCCCTTTCGAGCCATTACCAGTATCAAAAGATGATACTGGAGATCTGTGGAGGCGAAACTGCACCCTGCGTGACGGGAAATGTCTCCCTTGTGAATGTGTTTAAGATGAAGATGAAGCCACCCAAAAGGTGGCACAGGCATGAATAGCTCGTAAGTGGTGGCCCTTTTGAGCCATCACCAGTATCAATAGATGATACTGGAGATCTGTGGAGGTGCGACTGCACCCTGCGTGACGGGAGATGTCTCCCGGACCAAATGGTGACCAGATGGTGGTTAATGTTTGCTATTCTGCTGCTTATATGCTCGGGCAACACCTCACCGTGTTGCCCGGGCAACGCCTCACCTCATTCATCTCCAAAGGTTGACAGGAATATTAACAATGCATTTGGAGCGAGTATATTATTGGGATAATCTACTCGCTACAATATATAATAGGTAATATTATATGGGAAGATAAGTGGCTATAACCTGGGCGTTAACTTGTGGCACAGAAAACTGTTGTAGTTAGCATAATTAGTTTATTAAGGCGCCATATAATGGTCGGTAAGTATTTATAGAAAGACCTTTTTTATTAAAAGGCTTAGGTATACACAGCAACGTGCTGCACCCTGCTGCTTCCTGGGGGTGGAGGCCTGGTCGAGGACCGGGCCGCGGGGACACTAAAGCCCGGAAATCATCTCAAGATAACCTCAAGAAGAGAAGATAGCATCCTCCCGTACTACCTATCTCCCTCCTATTCTATATGAAAGATTATGCAGAATAGATCAAAAGTAAACGTTAAATACGAAGTTCAGTTTTCTGTCATTTAATTCCTTATTTTTATTAGGAGTCGAGAAACAATCTTATGCGAAGGCAAGGCGAGTTCTCCTGGATTTACCTGAGGGTAACCATGTATTTAGTGGCCACCAAGGGGACAGGAAGCCGGCGGATTGTTCCTCTCCATTGTCTTATAGCTACAATGTTTAGTTCTCTTATACTGGTGTGTGTATGCAGCTTTAGGCTTATGTTTATCAACCTCATACAGACACCGGCAAGGGGTATACTGTATACATCTAGAGGTATACCCAGCTTCCCGGTGTATACACCTTGTGGTATACCCAGCTTTCCAGTATATACACCTAGAGGTATATCCAGCTTCCCGATGTATACACCTAGAGGTATACCCAGCTTCCCAGTGTATACACCTAGAGGTATACCCAGCTTCCTGGTGTATGCACATAGAGGTATACCCAGCTTCCTGGTGTATACACATAGAGGTATACCCAGCTTCCGGGTGTATACACATAGAGGTATACCCAGCTTCCTGGTGTATACACATAGAGGTATACCCAGCTTCCTGGTGTATATACATAGAGATATACCCAGCAAGGGGGGGGGGTCAGGGGTAAGATGTTTTGAACTCGTCACACCTCAGGGAGGAGTATTGAGTCCCACTCAGTTTAATGTACTAATGAACAGGAAAGCATCTGAGAGATACTCAAATTATTCCAGAATGTATTACTCGCCCTTTGAGATAATTCACATCAACCTTGGAAGACTGTAAGGTATATGTAGTAATTGTTCCCATTCAAACTATAAAAAAAGTATATATGAGATAGGTGAAATGAGCGCAACATATGATTGTATAATTCGAAAATTACTTACAGGAAACACTACATATATATTGTGATGGGTCAGTAGCTAGGGATGGGAAGGCAGGATGTGGAGTCTTGATCAGGGAGTACACTGACACCGGCACTGTAGATACTGTTATTGGACGCCGCTTAACTGACAATGTCTCTTCAACGCAGGTTGAACTCCAAGGTGCATTTGCAGGCGATGAGTCACAATAACGTGGCTGAAGTATGTTGACCAGACCACACACTAGAAATTGAAGGGACGACGACGTTTCGGTCCGTCCTGGACCATTCTCAAGTCGATTGTCACAATCGACTTGAGAATGGTCCAGGACGGACCGAAACG